CTAGAAGGAAGAGAAATGGGCAGAGTAGACAGCCTTGTCTGACTCCAGTCCTTACTGGAAATGCATCTGTCAGCTGTCCTCCATGCATGACTTTGCACTGTAGTCCATCGTATGAGTTTTGGATAATGTTGACAATCTTTTCAGGAACTCCATAGTGTCGAAGAAGTTTCCACAATGTTCTCCTATCCACGCTGTCAAACGCCTTCTCATAGTCAATAAAGTTGATGTATAGTGATGAGTTCCACTCAACTGATTGTTCAACGATGATCCGTAGTGTTGCAATCTGGTCTGTGCACGACCGATCCTTACGGAATCCAGCCTGATGATCCCTAAGTTCAGCGTCTACTGCGTCTTTCATCCGATTCAGCAGCACTCTGTTGAAAACTTTTCCTGGTGCTGATGCCTCTGTAGTTCTCACATTTGCTCAGATCTCCTTTCTTTGGTATCTTGATGAGATATCCTTCTTTCCAGTCCGTTGGCACTAGATCCTCTTCCCAAATCTTCTTGAATAGAAGGTGAAGCATGTTTGCAGTTATTTCAATGTCTGACTTCAGTGCTTCTGCTGGTATATTGTCAGGTCCTGCCGCCTTCCCACTTTCGATTTGTCTGATGGCCATCTTGACTTCTTCGATCGTTGGTGGAGTGACATCTATTGGAAGGTCTGTGTGGGCTGCTTCGATGTTCGGTGTATTCAATGGGGCTGGTCTATTCAGCAGTTCCTCGAAGTATTCTGCCCATCTTTTCCTCTGTTCCTGAATCTCAGTGATTGTCTTTCCTTCTTTGTCTTTGACTGGTCTCTCTGGTTTGCTATATCTCCCTGCCAATTTCTTCGTTGTATCATATAGTTGTTTCATATTCCCTTCTCTTGCAGCTTTTTCCGCCGTCGTTGCTAGTTCTCCCATGTATTTCTGCTTGTCGGCTTTAATGCTTTTCTTCACTTGCTTGTTTGCTTCTGCATAGTCTGCTTGTGCTTTGACTTTCTCTGCTCGTGTTCGGCTGTTGTTAATTGCTAGTTTCTTGTTCTTCCTTTCTTGAATTTTGTCCAGGGTTCCCATAGAGATCCATTCCTTATGATGATGCTTCTTAGGACCAAGAACCTCCTGACACGTTGAAGTTAGTGCTTCTTTGATCCCTTTCCAGTTGTCCTCCAAAGTAGTTTTTTGTTCTTTCAGTAGATCCTATAGAGCTTGGAACCTGTTGTTGAGAGTTATCTTGAATTCATGGAGCTTGTCAGTATCTCGAAGGAAGGCTGTATTAAACCTTTGTAGTGCTGTTTGTCCAGTCTTTCTTTAGCTTCAGTCTCATCTTGGCCACAACCAGGTGGTGATCTGAAGCTATGTCAGCTCCTCTCCGGGTTCTCACATCTTCCATTGATCTTCGGAATTTTTTGTTGATACAGATGTGATCTATCTGGTTCTCTGTGGTGTGGTCCGGCGAGATCCATGTAGCTTTGTGTATGCGTTTGTGTGGGAATATTGTGCCGCCTATAACCAATTTGTTGAATGCACATAGGTTTGCAAGTCTCTCCCCATTTTCATTTCTCTCTCCTAATCCATGTCGTCCAATTATATCTTCATATCCTGTGTAGTCCACTCCAACTTTAGCATTTAGATCTCCCATAAGGATGGTGAGGTCCTTTCGTGAGCACTTTGCTATAATTGATTGCAGCCTTTCATAGAACTGATCTTTATCATCGTCGTTGCTATCATTGGTGGGTGCATAACATTGGATAACGTTCATTGTGATCCCTTGCTTCTTTGTTCCGAATGATGCTTTGATTATCCTGGGTCCATGAGATTCCCATCCCACAAGTGCATTTTGTGCATCTATGGACAGCATTAAAGCAACTCCCTGAGTGTGTGGAGCATTTTCCCCTTCGTGACCGGAGTACAGCAGCATCTCTCCTGTACCTAGCCTTTGTTGTCCAGTTTGTGTCCGATGGGTTTCGCTGATTCCGAGTACTGCCAAGTTGTATCTTCTCATTTCCATTGCTATTTGGCTGGTTTTTCCTGTCTCCCACATTGTCCGGACGTTCCATGTACCTATAAAGAGTGTTGCTCTGGTTGTTAGAAGGTGCATCGGTCTCGTGACTTCCGAAGAATTTCGGCTTTCATCATGAGACGTCATTATTCCTTCAACTCCCAGGGCAGAGTTTAAATGGTTTGAATTATTTTTTCTGGTTAGCGTTTTTTTTAGCGAGTTAGCTTTTCTACGGGATGGGGTCGCTAACCCCATGCCCAACCCTCCTCCTTTACCCGGGCTTGGGACCGGCAGTAACTCTAGAAGAGCTACAGGCGGAGTTCTGGTGTCTCCTCATTTGCGGATAAATCTTTCGCCTTTTACTAAAGATTTCCGTGGGGAGGCACAATACAATGAGTCTCATCTCATTTTTTTCATTTTAAACATGCTGAGTTTATATTCAAACGAATCAGACCGTAAAAAATGAACGTTTTTACAAGATCATGCCAAAAGTGGCTGTGAATTTGGGAGATTGTAATTGAAAGACTGGGCCTTACTTAAGAATGGTAAATCGTATAATAATAGTCTATAGGTCAAAATGAAGCTTATGGTGAAGGGAATATGAATATACATATATAGTCACTTAGTAGTCATACAATAAGAACATTCGTATAATATTAGTCCATAAGTAGTTCTTAACGGTTACTGTTCATTTTTTCTCGTCCGGACATAACACTGTGTGTACTTTGGTATTGACAACATTGTTAGATTATTATCCCCAGCTTACATTCTTAGATAGGGTGACATCACTTCTCAAGGCTTATATTATTTGGGTTCAGTAGGTCTAAATGTTGGTTACTGCTTTAGCCTCAATAAAGTCTACATCAAAATGTTAACGAGAGTTATCGTATGTTACATTTGCTTATTGGATAACTGTATGGCATTAGCTTATAGCATCAGTCAAAACAGTACGTCCTTATCAATGAATAGAAACAAGCAAAGCTTAGTCAACCACGTGCTGAATAGACAATTGTTTGTGTAGCAGAGTGGTGCTACATCGACAGATATTCTAGTTCGTACCAATCCAGACGGTCATTTTTCGTTAATAGCATGCACCGTACTGCATCACTGGCAAGTTGTTATTAATGCAAGTTACTTTTAAACGACTACCAGGTAGCCGGAGAATTGAAGGCATCATTTATTGAAGTACTCGGTTACAACATCCTGGACCCACTTATATGACACGTCACATCAAACTAAGAAGTTGAAGAAATAGATTGATGAATGTCTGCAACAAATTTATTGTTCAGGTAAAACGAATGACTGCATCTCTTAATAACTACAAGTAGCAAAAATGGAGGCTTTATGTATGTCCGTTGATTTACCGGTCATGTTCTGTCTGATAGCTAAGTAGATGTAGATCATGTATATGTTTATAAATTAGTCCTTCAAAATCGCATGTGTCTACGCCACCACTCTTATCTACTTCTCGCGGTGCTGTAAACAAGTAAGTTGTATTTACACTTAATTTTATTATAATGGGTCACACACTTGTTAGGGATTGTTTACTTAGTTGTCCCGTGTAGAATGCTTTTGCGAGCTACGTTAATCACTGAATTTATAAATATGTGCGACAGCGGATATATTGTAGGGAACAATGGCGAACATGTTGTATCTGAACGAATGAGTGGTAACTGACAGGAATTATCCATTTATTATTATTGTCATATATATTCTGATTGCATAATTATTAATTAACTAAATTATATGCATTTATATTCTCTTTACCATGATGTTTCATTTGACCGGTTAGAAACCGTTATATAATTGATCATTCTTAATTTATTCCCAATCTATTATTAGTTACATTCTCTCATACTCGAGTATGAGTGCGATCGCACCCACTTTTGGCTTGATGTTTTATAAGTATTTTTAATTTTATGATGTGATTCAGTCTGATCTACTTGTATATAAACCATGTATATCTGAATATACGATTCACTCAGTGGACTCTGGACTCAACGGGCAGGGCAAGGCGAGAAGCTACTGTATCGAAGACCAATAAGGGTTTAGAGTTGACCGAATGTTACTAGTGCTGGTTTGCGTGTCACTGACCAGCCCAAGGTCATGGGAATCAATATTATGATTGGTGGTTTCCATATTTGGCGAGGTCATCAGTTATCGTCGGTGGTCTGAAAAAAGTCGATGATTGGTAAAGGATTTCTTCGAAACAAGAAAGGAAAATAGCGATGGTAGCTCCACGAACTAATGAGATCATTTTTATTAATTGATTGGGTCTCAGTCTCTTCTGTGCCTTGCACTCAAATCAACATTTATTATGCGAGTACCTAAATAAAATTCGTGATCACAATAAGTCTTGGCCTCCTATTATCTGTGTTCTTGTTCTGTCACCATATGGCTTAGTAAAGTACTCGTGGTTGAGGACCGTCGTATTACACTCAAAGTTGATTACGCACGATGCTCCCAATAAACCACGACTCGAGCACAACCCACAGCAGCATCTTAATCAAGTCATCTAGACCAGACTAGGCTGTGGCCGGATTATTAGGACGGACCCTCTGACCAGCGACCCGCTTGATATACGGGTTTACACGCCGGCAGGCACTCGCCCAATCCATGACTTAATGTGTGCCTTGATAGATGAAAAGCCGACCCTCAGACAGGCGTGGCCACAGGATATCCCGTAGCCGCAATATGCGTTCAAGATGTCGATGTTCAAAGCAGTATGCAGTTTACATTAATTCATACAGTTGGCTGCACTCTTCATCGACACACCAGCCGAATTATCCACCGTTCAAAGTTGTACGCCAATAATCCCTACTCACTACCTTCTCATAGTGGCGGGGGTGTTGTTTACGAAATTGAGAGGACGAAAAGCGAATGTCCGATGCATTAACCGGGTTGGTGGACACGGCCAATCTACCTAGGGGAGTTGAAAATCTATGATAATTAGAAGTATTTGAATTGTAGTATAAACTAGTAATCCCAGGAATAACGCAATTTAATCAAGAAGTATTAGATGTGACCGAACGAATGTATTGTATTTGGAATTCAAAATTACAACAGTCATCAATACAAACAAGTCATTGATTTATTTAAACATCACATCCGCCACAGCTCGAATTGGAGTGTAAGTGTCTGTAATCAATTGTTCGTCTTCTTCTTAAGTTCATCTTGCATCTGTCCGATGGTGTATTGGATGTAGACTCTGTATTATCTAGAATGCACTCATCAGTATTAGAATTAACAACGGAAATTGGAACAGACTCACCTGGATTCTAGAATTGTATACAATTGGCATGTCGGTTGTGTAGTGAAACCATTGATATTTAGAATTTGCATCATATACTTTCCAACAATATCCTCCCCCACGAAATAATGTTGGGTCCTTATGTCGCAATGTTTTAGCCAATATGACATTTCCAATTTGCAGTATCTTCTCAAATCTTACGCATCGACTACTGTATATGAGTATTTGGGAATAAACACTGATATATAATTCGAGGTATTCCATCATGTGACTTTGACTTGAATAAAAATCATGATACATATTCTTTTTGTTATTCATATTAGAATACACAGATGGATATGCATTGATATATGTAATTAACACATGTGATTCAACTAGGCTTGATTTACCTGCGAAACAATCGAATAGAAAACATTCATCTGCCTCATATTCATTAGGATAATCTTGGACTTGATTTGGATTCTCTACCTGTGCAAACTTCACTTCTGTGCAAACTGGTTCTCTGATTATTTCGGTAAATTTTGCTATCCTCTTTGATTCATCATACCCCTGACTAGGGATTCTATTCAACATACATTGTTCGTAAGAGCATCCAACCTCTGACACAATAACATCAGAAATATGACTAGAATTCAACTCATTTGGAACATATTTTTCACATTCATTAGGAATACCATTAGAGATAAATTGATTGTGAGGACCACTGACACTTGATATGATATCAGAATTCGATTTCTCTGAAATATTTTCCTCAAATTGATTAAGAGTTTTATTAGAGAATAATGGATCATTAGAAAAATCAGCATCTACTAAAAGTGAATCCGGTTTTTGATCATGATTCGACTCATTCAACATTTTATTCTCAGAGTTGTAGGAAATTTCATCAGAAGTATGTGAATCATTATGACAAACCATATTTGGTACAATAACATGAGAAATCTGATCAGTTGGTTGGTTAGGAATTTTCGTCTCCCAATGACTGGGTTTCATCCAACTCTGGACTGTTATATAACGTTATACCACTTCTAGATAAAGATAACTGATCATTAGAAACATCCATCTTAGCATTACTTACAGCAAAATGAAGCATGGTATTACAAACTGACTGAATGTGTCCAGCTTCACCACAGTTAAAGCATTTAGCATTACGAAATGCACATGAATTACGAGAATGAAATTTGCCACAAGATAAGCATTTACCAAAATTATTCTCACCTCTGTTGCTTCCTTGGCAGTCCTTTGTTGAATCATCTTTCATATTTCTACGAGAATAGAAATCACGATTAAATGAACGCAAATTTGATCGACCCTGAGATTGTATTTCATCATGACGACTAAGCAAAGTATTAGAAATTTTCATCGATTTAATATCAAGTTCATTCACTGCTTCGCAGTTAATACATGCGGTTCTAGCATCTTGAAAAGAACAGTTCGGCATTCTTAACAGCTCCTTTTCCAGACCTGGTATGTTAATTCCTGCAATTAACCGATCTCTCAGCTGTACATGAAGTTGATCACCAAAATTGCATTTGGCAGCTTGTCTTTGCAATTCAAGGATGAAGTCTTTAACCTTCTGGTTATCCTGACGAATCATCTTATGAAATTTTGCTCTCTCACGACACTCAAAACTGGTGCACTTCACATGATTCCTTGAGAGTTGTATATGGGAGTGAAGTCGGCTTATCTGGATATGCCAAGGTTTTTAATAAACTGTAGGCTTCTTGACCGATGAATGTAAGAAAATGTGCCACAATTTTGTCACCCTCCATATCTTTCTTGGTCATGCTCCATATCTCAAACCTTTCAAGGTATTCCTCAAAAGCTTCAGAAGTTGAATGAATGTCCAACTGTTGTATCACAGGCTCCATCGCGACGCCAATATGATAATTAGAAGTATTTGAATTGTAGTATAAACTAGTAATCCCAGGAATAACGCAATTTAATCAAGAAGTATTAGATGTGCCCGAACGAATGTATTGCATTTGGAATTCAAAATTACAACAGTCATCAATACAAACAAGTCATTGATTTATTTAAACATCACATCCGCCACAGCTCGAATTGGAGTGTAAGTGTCTGTAATCAATTGTTCGTCTTCTTCTTAAGTTCATCTTGCATCTGTCCGATGGTGTATTGGATGTAGACTCTGTATTATCTAGAATGCACTCATCAGTATTAGAATTAACAACGGAAATTGGAACAGACTCACCTGGATTCTAGAATTGTATACAATTGGCATGTCGGTTGTGTAGTGAAACCATTGATATTTAGAATTTGCATCATATACTTTCCAACAATATCCTCCCCCACGAAATAATGTTGGGTCCTTATGTCGCAATGTTTTAGCCAATATGACATTTCCAATTTGCAGTATCTTCTCAAATCTTACGCATCGACTACTGTATATGAGTATTTGGGAATAAACACTGATATATAATTCGAGGTATTCCATCATGTGACTTTGACTTGAATAAAAATCATGATACATATTCTTTTTGTTATTCATATTAGAATACACAGATGGATATGCATTGATATATGTAATTAACACATGTGATTCAACTAGGCTTGATTTACCTGCGAAACAATCGAATAGAAAACATTCATCTGCCTCATATTCATTAGGATAATCTTGGACTTGATTTGGATTCTCTACCTGTGCAAACTTCACTTCTGTGCAAACTGGTTCTCTGATTATTTCGGTAAATTTTGCTATCCTCTTTGATTCATCATACCCCTGACTAGGGATTCTATTCAACATACATTGTTCGTAAGAGCATCCAACCTCTGACACAATAACATCAGAAATATGACTAGAATTCAACTCATTTGGAACATATTTTTCACATTCATTAGGAATACCATTAGAGATAAATTGATTGTGAGGACCACTGACACTTGATATGATATCAGAATTCGATTTCTCTGAAATATTTTCCTCAAATTGATTAAGAGTTTTATTAGAGAATAATGGATCATTAGAAAAATCAGCATCTACTAAAAGTGAATCCGGTTTTTGATCATGATTCGACTCATTCAACATTTTATTCTCAGAGTTGTAGGAAATTTCATCAGAAGTATGTGAATCATTATGACAAACCATATTTGGTACAATAACATGAGAAATCTGATCAGTTGGTTGGTTAGGAATTTTCGTCTCCCAATGACTGGGTTTCATCCAACTCTGGACTGTTATATAACGTTATACCACTTCTAGATAAAGATAACTGATCATTAGAAACATCCATCTTAGCATTACTTACAGCAAAATGAAGCATGGTATTACAAACTGACTGAATGTGTCCAGCTTCACCACAGTTAAAGCATTTAGCATTACGAAATGCACATGAATTACGAGAATGAAATTTGCCACAAGATAAGCATTTACCAAAATTATTCTCACTTCTGTTGCTTCCTTGGCAGTCCTTTGTTGACCCCTGAGATTTTTAAGGATGGTGGTCCAGTACTAGCAGTGAGATTGACTGAGGTCTTAGGTAGAATCTGGGAACTGGACGTAATTCCATCTGACTGGTCCCAATCACTGATTGTGCCAGTCTATAAGAAAGGACAAAAGTCCTCCTGTGACAATCACAGAGGGATCAGTTTGACTAATATAGTGTCTAAAATATTAGCTTCAATAATACTAGGTCGCCTAACCAAAGCTCGTGAAGAGCAGACTAGAGAAAACCAGGCTGGTTTTCGACCTGGACGTGGTTGCATAGACCAGATATTCACCCTACGTCAGGTTCTAGAACATAGACACAAATTCAGACGTCCCACAATAGTAGTATTTCTTGACCTTAAGGCGGCATTTGACTCTGTTGATCGTGAGGTTCTATGGCAATGTTTGTCACTGAAAGGAGTACCAAAGAAGTACATTAACCTCATAAAGGCTCTCTACTCGAACACAACTGGTCGAGTTAGAGCCTATGGCGAATTGTCATCAGAACTGATTACCACAAGTGGAGTTCGTCAGGGCTGTCCACTCTCCCCATTCTTGTTTAACTTTGTCATTGACATACTTTTAGAGACAGCACTTTCATCAGCTAAGCCTCCAGGAGTTGAACTCTTACCGGGAGGCTCACTTGTTGACTTAGAATACGCCGACGACATAGTTTTACTCGGTGAAGACGCTGACAAAATGCAGAGTCTTCTGACCACCATAAGCAACAATGCAGGCATGTTCGGGATGCGATTCTCTCCCTCGAAGTGCAAAATGTTACTTCAGGATTGGGTTGCAGCGACACCTGAACTAATGATAGGGAGTGAAGTAGTTGAGCGTGTAGACCACTTCACTTATCTTGGGAGTCTCATCAGCCCTTGTGGTCTGGTGTTTGACGAAATCTCAGCACGGATACAGAAGGCTCGTCTAGCTTTTGCCAACTTGCATCATTTGTGGCGTAGGCGAGATATCCGTCTAGCAACCAAAGGACGGGTTTACTGTGCAGCAGTTCGTTCCGTCCTACTTTATGGAAGTGAAACATGGCCGGTAAGAGTAGAGGATATTCGTAGGCTACTAGTGTTCGATCATAGGTGTCTTCGAAGCATTGCTCGTATATCCTGGGACCACCGGGTAAGTAATGCAGTTGTTAGGAAACGAGTACTAGGTAGGGATGGCAAATCGATTGATGAAGTAGTGAAACTTCATCAGTTGAGATGGCTGGGACATGTGTTACGTATGCCCGACCACCGACTGCCCCGACGTGCAATGTTTCATGGTGTAGGAGTAGGTTGGAAGAAAGCTAGGGGTGGCCAGACCAAAACGTGGCACAAATCAATGAAGTCACTGACAAGTGGACTGGGCCATGTTGGTAAGTGTAGACTACCTGGTTGGGATTCGCGAGATGATAGCAACCGATGGTTAGAGACCTTGAATGACATGGCTCAAAATCGTTTGCAATGGCGAAGATGCATCCACTCTTTGTGTTCTACCAAATTCTAATCTTCTGAATTTCTCATGTCTTTATGTTTTTCTCCTTCCAAATATATTTCACTGTACTATACTCCTTCAATAACATCTTCAAACTCTAATCTTTCCGATTACTGCTTATACTCTTACTAATTCTTCCACTATGGGATTTGAATCGACAACTGCATCTGTGTGCTAATGTGGTATGGCAACTCGAACTGATGTACGTACGTACGAAGTTCTACGTTGTGACTGACTGACTGACTGACCTTTGTTGAATCATCTTTCATATTTCTACGAGAATAGAAATCACGATTAAATGAACGCAAATTTGATCGACCCTGAGATTGTATTTCATCATGACGACTAAGCAAAGTATTAGAAATTTTCATCGATTTAATATCAAGTTCATTCACTGCTTCGCAGTTAATACATGCGGTTCTAGCATCTTGAAAAGAACAGTTCGGCATTCTTAACAGCTCCTTTTCCAGACCTGGTATGTTAATTCCTGCAATTAACCGATCTCTCAGCTGTACATGAAGTTGATCACCAAAATTGCATTTGGCAGCTTGTCTTTGCAATTCAAGGATGAAGTCTTTAACCTTCTGGTTATCCTGACGAATCATCTTATGAAATTTTGCTCTCTCACGACACTCAAAACTGGTGCACTTCACATGATTCCTTGAGAGTTGTATATGGGAGTGAAGTCGGCTTATCTGGATATGCCAAGGTTTTTAATAAACTGTAGGCTTCTTGACCGATGAATGTAAGAAAATGTGCCACAATTTTGTCACCCTCCATATCTTTCTTGGTCATGCTCCATATCTCAAACCTTTCAAGGTATTCCTCAAAAGCTTCAGAAGTTGAATGAATGTCCAACTGTTGTATCACAGGCTCCATCGCGACGCCAATATGATAATTAGAAGTATTTGAATTGTAGTATAAACTAGTAATCCCAGGAATAACGCAATTTAATCAAGAAGTATTAGATGTGACCGAACGAATGTATTGTATTTGGAATTCAAAATTACAACAGTCATCAATACAAACAAGTCATTGATTTATTTAAACATCACATCCGCCACAGCTCGAATTGGAGTGTAAGTGTCTGTAATCAATTGTTCGTCTTCTTCTTAAGTTCATCTTGCATCTGTCCGATGGTGTATTGGATGTAGACTCTGTATTATCTAGAATGCACTCATCAGTATTAGAATTAACAACGGAAATTGGAACAGACTCACCTGGATTCTAGAATTGTATACAATTGGCATGTCGGTTGTGTAGTGAAACCATTGATATTTAGAATTTGCATCATATACTTTCCAACAATATCCTCCCCCACGAAATAATGTTGGGTCCTTATGTCGCAATGTTTTAGCCAATATGACATTTCCAATTTGCAGTATCTTCTCAAATCTTACGCATCGACTACTGTATATGAGTATTTGGGAATAAACACTGATATATAATTCGAGGTATTCCATCATGTGACTTTGACTTGAATAAAAATCATGATACATATTCTTTTTGTTATTCATATTAGAATACACAGATGGATATGCATTGATATATGTAATTAACACATGTGATTCAACTAGGCTTGATTTACCTGCGAAACAATCGAATAGAAAACATTCATCTGCCTCATATTCATTAGGATAATCTTGGACTTGATTTGGATTCTCTACCTGTGCAAACTTCACTTCTGTGCAAACTGGTTCTCTGATTATTTCGGTAAATTTTGCTATCCTCTTTGATTCATCATACCCCTGACTAGGGATTCTATTCAACATACATTGTTCGTAAGAGCATCCAACCTCTGACACAATAACATCAGAAATATGACTAGAATTCAACTCATTTGGAACATATTTTTCACATTCATTAGGAATACCATTAGAGATAAATTGATTGTGAGGACCACTGACACTTGATATGATATCAGAATTCGATTTCTCTGAAATATTTTCCTCAAATTGATTAAGAGTTTTATTAGAGAATAATGGATCATTAGAAAAATCAGCATCTACTAAAAGTGAATCCGGTTTTTGATCATGATTCGACTCATTCAACATTTTATTCTCAGAGTTGTAGGAA